GACTGATTTGACTTGATCCATGTGTTGACTTCCAGGACTACTTGCATTTGCATCGTATTGCCCCTTGAGATTTTGTTGTGGTTGAGATGGAAACTTACCTTGCTCTTGAAAACTAAGAGCAGATGTGAATTTTGCAAGAGTGTCTTTAAAATCTATTATGCTTTGAGTAAGTTGAGTGTTGATTGTCTCTTGCTTTTCAATGAATGCATACAAAGTTTCCTCAAAATTACTTCTAAGAGGTGGAGTATAAGAAGGTGCATATCCATAAGAATTTTGGAAGTTATGGTGTGCTTGAAACTGTGGTGGTGAAGTTTGTGCATTATTACTCTTCCAACTGAAATTTAGATGATTTCTAAGAGGTGGAACATAAGAAGGTGCATTGTTGAACTCCGTTAACACTAATAAAGCATTGTTGAACTCCGTTAACACTGATAAATTGCAAAAATGTTATGTTTATAAAACATAGAACAACATATAATTTTTATGATAAATTGAATCGATAATAAATTCCTTGATTTATCTAGAAAAAAAATGAAATTATGCTCATATGCACAATCTTCATCTGGATTTAATGTCAACGAATAAATTTTACTTGATTGTCGTTTTTTATTAAAAAAGAAATGTAACTATGAGGATTATTCCATGAACATTGTTTAAGGTAAAAGGACTAATTTGAAAAAAAAAGTAATGAAAGCTTCCTTACCAAGCTTAGCCGATAATAAAAATTTTCATGCTCGAACATGTACTAAGTTAATGGGCGTTTAAAATAAGGCCTCTGTTTTGTTAAGATAGCTGTGCCTTGGACAATGCTTTGAAAGCTTTTGGAAGAGTAAGTTTTTCTGTGCAGGTGTATTCTTTTTGCTTGTCTGAATTATAGAAAAATGATAAGAAACTATGACTATAGTGTCTTTAAAATTACAGGATAACAATGAAATAAAGGACAGATGCTTAGATGTAAATCATTTTTATTTTTGTTAAATAAATAGTTTTTTTTTATTAAAGTAAGAAAGATATTTTGTTGAGATTATACTTGATAGTTATAATAATTTTACATAATTAGTTAACTTGTAAAATAATAAGATCAATTTTCACGATATAATAAGTATCAATTATATTATTATCAGATGAATAAAGTGTTCTTTTCCGAATAATAACAATAATAATAATAATTGAAGTGCAGTCATATAGTTTGCAATTAACCATAATGTAATTTGTTAAGTTAAGAAGCCATTAAATAAATCTTACAATGCGATAATTATATTAGTTAATCGCTAATTGACATAAAAGAGTTAAGTTATTATTTAAGATAAGAAAGAAGTAATTATTATTTGAAAAAAAAGTGTCTGAACATGGATTAATAAATATTTTTTTGTTAAGTATATAAACTTTAAAATATTATTTTCATTTGAAAATAGTTATAATTAGCAGTTAAACCATTGCACTCAACTTTTGTATCTAAATGCACTTGTAATTGAATTTAGAGATGTTTATTTGTTTGAAAAGTAGTTTTTGAAAATTATTTTTTAAATTTTTTTATATTTATTTATCATTAGAAAAATTAGTCAATAAAAAATACTTTTCAGTTAAAGAAAAATTTATCTTGATTTTTAATAAAGTGTTTTCCTTTTATTTTGGATGGAAAATACTTTTTAAAAGTTGTAAAAAATTTAAAATTATTATATTATTTGCTGATTATATCAAATTTCATCCTCAAACTTTTATTGATATTTATTTTTTAATTTTTTTAATTTCATCCCTTAAAATTTTATTTAATTTGATTTTTATATTAACTTTGGTCCTTATTTTTATGATTGTTATTTGTTTTTCTCTAATTATTTTTTTAATTAAAATTTTTATTTGCTTTTTATTTTTACTTATTTTATTTGAAATATTTATGAAATTATAATTATAATTATTTTAATTTCATCATCTTTCAATTTTTTATTTGTTAGATTTGATCTCCATTATTTTGATTATTATTTATTTTAGTTGAAATAATTTATAAAATTAGATTTTTTTTTCAATTTCATTCTTATTCAACTTTTTAATTTGTAAGATTTGCTCCTCATTATTTTAATAAACTTTAAAAAATAAAATATTATTAAGCTATTTTCCAACTCATTTTCCATAACATAATCAAACACTAGAAATTATTTTCCAACTTATTTTCCTTAATATTATCAAATATTAAAAAATAATTCCCTTTTCATGAATTCACTTTTCAAGAAAATCACTTTAAAAAAAAAACTACTTTCCAGTAAACAAATGGGATTCTAATTTATATTGAGAGAGTTTATAGTGTTCAAAGTATAGCTATTTACATTTATATCATAAAATAGAGAGATAAAAAGAGAAAAGAGAAATAATATTTGGTTATGGTCTTAAGGATATAAAAAACAAAGATTAGAGTTGTTTATAGATACAACTAGATCGGGTTTAGATCTATAATTATAGCTAACCAAACTTATGATATTTTACATGTAAAATTGATTTATTTAATTTTTTTTAGAATGGAGTGGGTTAGATATATCAAGTTGGGTTAATGTTTTTATAGATATTACAAATATTCACATGTGAGGCTTATTGCTAATTTTCATGAATTGAGTTTAATTAAAACTAAGATTTAAGTTCAATAAATTAGGTCAAAACTTATTGCAAGTTGTAACAAAAAATGGAGACATAATGGATCAATTATAAACAAATATAACATACAACAACAAATTAAGCTTTGAACAACAAAAAACTTAATGAAATGTATAAGCTACGTGAGTTAGGTCAAGTTAACCAGGTTTTAAGAACTTTAACTCCTGATATCTATTTTGTAGATTTTTTTGACTCACTATTATATATAATATTCACATTATTTGACTTTAATGGATAAAATCAGGTCAAATAATAAAATTATTATAAATAAAGTAATTCTTCCATACACCTCTTAACAAAGACAATGAAAATTAAAAGAATACAATCTACTAGTAATTTCTATTTTAAATAATAAGTTCAAAACTATTACAAAGATAAATTTATCTATACAATCAAATACATTTATGTTATTTTTACATTCCATTTGTTGTAGATACTTACTAGCCATTTAATCCTGCTCCACCACATATCAAATGTTTTTTTCTCTTACAAAAAATTATACATGCATGCCTTTTCAACATAAATTTATTCATAATTTTTGTAAAATATAAATTGAAAAACTCGTGTATATATGTAATTAAATAAATCGAGAATAATATATGTTAACAAAAAAAAATATTAACAATAACCAAAAATAAAACTGAAAAAAATCAAAAGATAAATATAAATCAAGAAATCTAATTTTACAAGATAAAATATTTACCTGGTTATACATACTGAATTTGTTAATTAAAATTATTTTTTATTTAATCAAATAATATTAAAAATAGAAATACATATTAAATTAATTAAATAAAATAAAAGTAAAAAAATATCATGTAAGGCGTGCATATAAGAAATATTATCTAAAAATAAATATTTTTTATTTTCAAAAATAAAGTTCTTGTGTGTGTGTAGATGAATTAGTATAGTCTTCAAAAATCAAATACACATAACATCATAAAAAAAATCTCTATCCAAAAAAGGTTAAATAAGAAAAAGAAAATTATGAAACATAAATTTCGAAATTATTTAAAGAAAAGTTATATCAATAAAAGATATCAATAAAAAAAACAATACCATAAAAAAATAGTCCAGTTATTGTGGTTTAGCTCGTCGAACTCGTGATCTGAATCATGAATTTGATCGGGTTCAATATTTTTTTCCTTAAATTTATATTCAATCTAAAAAAAGAGCCAAAAAAAGTCAAGTATACATGAACCACTCAAATGAAGAGATCAAAAGTGTTGGCGGGCTATCAAGCCTAGGCCCACGGGCTTAAGCTTTTTTTATTTTTTATTTTTTTTATAAAAAAAGGATGACTTGTTGTCTATTTTTATTTTTTTCAAAAAATAATTAATCGGCGACACATCACATGCTAAAATAGATCTTGCCGGAAAATCGAGCAACTAGTCTTTTAGCAAAAAAAAAAAAACCCAATTCTCAAGCTATTTCAACCCAAAAACACATTTACAACATCTACAAACCATTCTATCAACTCCACGTACTCAAAAAGGGTCCAAAACACGAAATTAAACTGATTTAGTTTTGTCTTTCTTGGCTCATATCTAACTTTTTATGCATCAAGGCTTTAAACAACTATCATAAATCCTCTCTCATCTCATGGAACCTGTGGATGTAAATCTATTTTGGCAGGTGGAAATGATGTGGATGATGATTTTCTCTTACATCACTGGATTTCGACAAGCCTCTCTTTTCTTTCTCTAACCAGGTATTAAAAAATAACATAAATAAACTCGTGGATTGTAATTGATTTTTTTTTTTAAATTTAAGGGGATTAAAATTGTATACATTATGTTATTTTGAAAGATTTCGGATCTAAATATATTTTTCATGCAATCTCTAGCATGTCATTCATGTTTGACTTCTTTTTTTTATTTTAATCCTCTTTCTTTCAATTTCATATTTGACTAAGAATTCATATATAATTTGCCTTTGCCTTTAATTAGGATTAAAACACACAAAATATAAATTCAAGGAATAAAATGAATTATTAGAAAATACATAATTTCATCTATATTATTTTATGAATACGTAAACAATATCAGCTAAACAATAAACACCCCACTAGTTTTAGTGTTTTTATATCTAATTTCTAAAAAAAACAAAAATATTATTTTTTTCAGTATATATCTTTTATGTTATGATAGTAATTGTTTTTTAAAATATTTTATACTTTAAAATATATTAAATTAATATTTTTTATTTTTTAAAAAAATTATTTTTTATATTAGTATATTAAAAAAATTTGAAAATATATAAAAAAATAATTTTGATGAAAAAAATAAAAAAATACTTTTAAAAATACTTTTTTTTAAAAAAAAAGTATAAAAGAAATGCAGCTAGACTATTCTCATCCTTCCTCTCCTCACTTTCCCCAAAAAAACAAATCTAGATCTCTCTTTTAACTCTCAAAAAAATGTCTAATACGCCATTAAAAGCCGTGACCCTCACTCTCGTTCGCTACCAAAAAGGAGACCAAATAGGCCATTTCTTAGCATGGGTATCACTGATCCCTGTCTTCATAAGTCTAGGCGGTTTCCTCACTCACTTCATATTCCGTCGTGAACTCCATGGCATGTTTTTCGCTCTTGGTCTTCTTATTTCTCAATTCATCAACGGAATCATTAAAACATTCGTCAAACAAGCCCGACCTGAAACATGTGCTCTTCTTGACATGTGTGATTCTCTTGGCTGGCCTTCTAGCCATTCACAGTACATGTTCTTTTTCGCTGTTTATTTCACTTTGTTGACCCTTGATGGAATTGGGTTGTCGGAGATCAAGAATCATTGGGCTGTTAATTTTTTTCCGTGGTCATTAGCTGTGTTGACCATGTTTTCTAGGGTTTATTTAGGGTACCATACGGTTGCCCAGGTTTTTGCTGGGGCTGTTTTAGGGTTTTTTCTTGGGGCCGGGTGGTATTGGGTCGTGACTAATGTGATTTCTAAGTATTTTCCGATGATTGAGGAGAGTATGTTTGGAAGGATGTTTTATGTGAAGGATACTTCCCATATTAGGAATGTTTTGAAGTTTGAGTATGAAAATGCAAGAGCTGCTAGAAAGAATATGGATGCCAAAGCTGATTGATTTGGCTAGTCTCGAATATATTTTCTGGGTAAGTGAAATCTGATCTGTATTATTTTGGCTTTTTGCTGGTTGTTTAAATTCTGATTTTTTTTTTCTTTTAGTGCCATGCGGGCTTATTGTTAATGTTTAGTTCAGATCACTGACTTCTGTGAATTTGATTGAGATTTTTTATTAGGTTAGAAACAGCAGCTTTATATTTTTGCTGCTATCTCAATTTCACTGTTGAAACATTGTGCCACGAGAAGATTTATTAACTTGGCGTGAAAGAAAGAAAGAAACAGCTGTTGAGAGTTTCTCTATAGGAACAACACACAGCGCTAGGGAAACTCTAGAGAGTAAAATACAGTCTGACTGTGTGAGACACTTTTCCCTGCTGTATGGTACATCCATCTAGCTGCGCTGTGTTGTTGATGACACTTCTAACTATTGAGAATTGAACTTGTTAGCATTTGTGTGGCAATTTTTCACGAGTGTAAATTCCACATCCGACCACCATTTTGTGTGATGCTAGAAGATGTAATCCCTTGATTATCTGTCTTGAAAAACTGACGTTGTTGATGACACTTCTAACCTTCACGAGTGTAAATTGAACTATTTCTACTTGTTGGCTTAATTGATTCATTAGTTGATCCCTTTCCAGAAGCCCTTCCATTCTAATACATTTATCCCTTAACACTTTTATTCTTTTCAGTGTAAGGGATAAGTTCTCCTAGAATAGTCCCATATGCTTGATCACTCAATGAGAAGCTCGGGATTTGTAAGCTATGCAACAGGAAAATCTATTCTCTTCTCTTAGAAGAAGAAAATGCTAGAAAAATTTATATGACTTTTAACCTTTCTATAGTTTCCACTGAAGGATTCATTTTCTCTTTCTTCCTTTGCTGATGTCTTCCCCCCCTCCCCCTCCCTAACCGTAAGCTTTTCTTGTGGCCTCAGATGACATTAAGTTTCTCTAGTGTCAAATGTAGCCCTTTTTGTAAGTATTTGTAGTGTTGAAGTGCCCTTTAGAAGAAAATGTAGTTCCAGACTGTATCTAAGCAGGGCATGGAGCCATTGTTGTATATTTTGAGTGATAGTTGAGAGTGTTGAGTTGAGAAAATCTGGATTTATTAAATTAGAATGCTAGCACCTGCTTTTTAATCTCTCGTTAGTTGGAAGCTGTTCTGAAGAAATAAATAATACTCAAAGGTTAAATCAGGAAAGGATTAAATTTGAGCAAGACAGAATATCTATATGCTAATATTTGGGAACTCATTACACTTATCTCAAGTTGGGAGACCATAGTTTACTTTGCAAAAAGACTTACATGGCCTGCCACATTTGATAGAATTTCAACTAAATATATATATAAAAAATACATCTTCACGTTGATTAGGAGAAGTTCTACCATGTTTATTGAATTGGATATGCTGGGAAATCTGTGTCAAATAATTAAAGCAGTAGCAATTCATGGGGTAGTGACAAGGCTGTCAGGCCAAATATGAGATTACAAGATAGGAACTGTTAAAATGAATTCAATGTTTGAATGATTAACTAGCATGATCATAGGTTATTGAAACAAGAGTGTCAAGCTGAATGTTGGATAACAAGACAGGAAGAATAAAATGAGTACTTCACAGGGTTGAATCATTAAGAAGTAGCATGCTTATCAGATAGTTGAAACAAGGATGTAAACCTTAATGTGTGATATAGGACAGGAACATTAAAAATGCGTGCGTGTGGTGTACTATGATGATTACTAAACCTTTCACTTATAATTGAGTTCATGTGGTGCTGTGAAGAGTGCATATCCGTGCCAAGCTACCATGAGTACCAAATCAATGCTAGAACTGTGCTTCTGAGGTGCTGTGTGTGTTTGTCTTGCATATAACTGCACAAAAGAAAATCTACTATCTACTTATTCACTTCTTATGGCAATTTCTGATTTCTATGCCCCTCATTGAAAATGCTTTTCTTGCTCCATTTTGCTGGTTGACAGCTCCAAGGATGCATTCAGGAGTGCCTTTTCTTATGAATGAAACGATTGAGCAATTGGAATTCTTTCTTCGAATCATTCTATTCGGGAGCTCACAAGGGAAGCTGCCAATTGGAAGAGCTGGTGCTCAGTTTAGATTTCTTTATATTGGCAAGGATGATCGTCTTTGTCATACCAGAGCTCGGCTGTGCTGAAAGGAAAACCACAGAAAGCATATATTTTATACTTGATTTTTAGAAGTTTACTGTTTTGTGATGTTTCTAAAGTAGTTTTATTACATGATAGTAGTTTTCTTGTATGATATGCTTTATGATACGTACTAAGCATCTGGATCGTTTGGACAATATTATAGTAGTTTTCACATTATTTTTGGATCAAATCCGAGTGGAGAAAAAAACCCAAACTCTCTTGAAGGGTGTTTTTTTTTTTTTTTTTTTTGTTAAATGGTCTGGTTAGCCCCTCAACTATTTTGATTTTGTTAATGTTACCCTTTTTATTTCATGATTGTGTGATGTGAACCTTCCTCCCAAGTCAAGCCGCTGACTCCGATAAAAACTATCAAAATGTCCCAAATTAGATTGGTGAAGTGCTTCGCTCTATCTGGGACTTCCTAGAACAAAGATGCTAACATGATGAGGTAAGTTGTAAAGAAAGAGCTTGGTGTGGATAGAATGGTTTTATATTTTAGGATTACAAAAGAAATTAAAACAGAAAGGTGTTTTAATGTAGTGTTTGCGTTGTGCTTTTTTCAATTTATCGTTGATCTGTTTTGGTGTTTTCTTGAGTTCGGTTATCTCTAATATCTGCATATTATTAATAATTAAAGGGTTTCATTATATTTCCCAACTTTATTCGAGGCTAATTCACATTGGTTGTATAAATATACAATTAAAAGGAAAGAAAACCAGCTGAAAACCAAAACAAAATGACATGGCGTTCTTGGAATTCTTGTAAAATACTTCTCACATTTATCAACAAATTCTCTATTCACTTCTTTTATGTCCCTTTTAGTTTTAGTATTTTAAGTTTTGATACAAAACTTTATCTTGTTCATGTGTTTAATCTCTAGTTTTAGAAGAGCATGAAGAAAATCATCAAAAAACAAGATAAGTAAAGAGAAAGTGGTTGGCTAATCACATTCTAGCAGTAAAAAAAATCCTTTTCATTTGACAAAAAGAGTTTCGTTGAGTTGAAACTGAAAATTGGGGCTAGAAATTGTTTTTTGAATTGGGGTGATTTTTTTTAGATTTTTGAGTGATTAAAAATTGGTTTAAGGTTATATATAGGTTTATTAAGGTTTTTCAAGTATTCTCTATGTGTTTTCATATGAAATTTTTTTTTGAAAATAAGTATTTTAAGTTAATAAAAATTAAGATCAACTTTTTAGTTTTTTGAAGTGGCTAAAATCATACCAATAAAGTGCACATCATCTCTTATAGTAGAGATGAATCGAGTTTAATAACATTATCAAGATATTTAACACATTGATGTGCAAATTATGCATTATTTTTATAATTTTTAATACATTTACTTCAAGATTATCTTAACATTATTTTAAGAATTTTAAACAACATAATGCATATTAAAGGTATTCGTCTTTTTTATTTCTTTTTTTATGCTTTTTAATTTTTAATTAGAGATATGTCTTTTTTTCTTTCTTTATTTCAATCCTTCAAAATGTTTTGATGATTGTTCTCATTGATTTTTTAATTTTAATTTTAATTTTTATTGAATAAAGAACACATAACAAAAAAGTCATATTATTTTTCTGAAAAACAAAGCTGAATAAGAAAGGAAAAAAATTATTCTATAAAATTATTTTGTTTTAATAAAACTAAAATTGTTATTTTCTTTAAAAAGTTATTAACATATAAATAAATAAAAAATATTAAAGAGCTTCTTACGTTATGGGCTAAATCTAGTGTTATTAAACCCGACCTAGCCTGAGGGGTTGACCCGAGACCTGGACCGATCCGGGCAACACAAAAGACCGGTGTAAGGAAAAAACCAGGCCAGATCCAGGTGACCCAGCCTAACCCGGGTGACCCAACCTAACTTGGATGAGACCTGGAATATATATCCTGACTCACCTATCTCGGGAAATTTAGAAAAGCAAAAGGAAAGCTAAATTGTTACCCCAATTTCTTTCTTTACAGTTCAAACAATTAAGTTATATTCTTCTGCTTGTATCTTCTAGTGGTAGCTCTGTTGGATTTCTCTTCTCTTTTTTTTTTTTTTGTGAATATTCTAGCCCCTTACTAGATCTTATTATGATCTTATAGAACTCTATAGTCTATACTAGTGGTCCAAAAGAAAAGCTAGATTCCACTGTTATGAGCCAAGTACTTCTTTTTTCTGCTTTGCAATGTTTTATTTTAGATTTATTTGTACAGGTAATAATCTACCATTTCTGCTACTGCAAGTTGATGTTTTATAATTTTATTATCAAGTTGGTTCTTTTGCAATATTGCAGCTGCTAAATTGAGTTAACTATTATTCCTTTTAAGTTTCAACCGTTAACTCTTGTTCCTTATTTCTTATTAAAGAAATAAGATTCTTATTAAAGAAATAAGATTTAATTTAAAAAATTCACATCCCATTTCTCTATTTTAATTCTTCTTTTCTACATCGATATCTAAAGTAAATATGACGAGAAAAAAATAATATCTAGTTCTTTTTTGTCCTAGAAAATTAAGATCTTCTTATCTCTAGGAGATATAAGAATTTGTTAATGGATTCGCTAACACAGTTAGATTTTGAATAGACAACGTTCAGTTTTTAGAGTTACTTCAAGTTTGGGTTATATTAGATTGCATCGACTTGAATCTCAGGTTTGTTGTAATCTATTATGAATTTTGGTTAAATTTAGTAGTAACCATTTGAAGAGTTTGTACTGTTTCATAGAAATATAATGGTATTCTTTTCTTTTTTTGTTTTCTATTAATGATTTCCATTCTAATTCCCAGAAACTAACTAAACAATTGTAGAGAAGATCATTAAATAGTTCAAACGAACAACATAATCAAAAGATTACCTTATTTTTCATTTAAACCTTTTAAAATAGGTAGAGTTTGTATGTTTGAACTTTTTAATTTTGCGTAGAAATGAGTGATTGAATTATGAGTTAAAACCAAACACAAGTAAAAGGATTTGTTTAAATATATATATCTACATCAAATTTGTTGCTTGATTTTTCTGTTCCTTCATTTTGCAATGACCGTAAACTTTTGCAAAATTGTTCATCAATAATGTTTGGTGTGTCTAACTATTCATCATGTGATAGATTAATTGTTCTGGAACTGTTATCCTTAAATCTAGATTATTAGTTGAACATGATTAATGCATCCTTTCTTCTGAAATATGATGTCACATTACTGATTCAAGTTTTTTCATATGCATTGCATATTGCAAGTACCACTTCCAACACATGCAACCTTTTAATTCATCATGTTAGTTTGATTTGGTTTGATATAGGTTTGTGAAATAGCTTCTCAACATGGTAGCACTTTAAATAGCTTTCCTTTAACTACTCAATCATCTGAACCTTCAATTTCTATATCAACATCAAGTGGTATAAGAGGACAAACATATTTGATATGGGGTCATTGTAAAGAAACTCCTAAACTTAGTGTGGGATGTAAGAAAACCAAATTAGTATGCTTATATGGTGCCAAAGTTTTTATGGGCGGAGGCATTAATTCATATAGTGCTAAACAAAGAGAGCGTGATAAAAGGATGATTAGACAATTAAAAGATGATTGTAAAGGCGATGATGATGATAATGATTATGATGATGCTGAAACTGATGGTAAGAAGCTAATGTTACCACCAAAGGTTGCCAATAAAGCAAAGAGTAAAATTACTAGTGCTGTTAAACAATCGTTTGTAAGTTATGAAAAATAGAAAGAAAATATAACATTAGGGGTATAGTTTATTCCAAGAACAATTCATGGTGCTCAAAAGTCTCTCCAAAGTTGTTGAACAAACAAAGAAGTTATCAAATGATGTGATCTTGCTATAGTAAAATGGGTGATTGGTGCATGTGTGTCATTAAATGCTGCAAACTCTATTTAGTATCAGCATGCTATAGATGGTATAACAACCATGGGTCCTGGTTATAAAGGACCAAATTTTCATGTTCTTTGTGGTTATTATTTAGCAAAAGTGGTTGATGAAGTAAAGATTTTTGTTGAGAGTTATCGAAAAACTTAAAAGAAGAGCAGTTGCACATTAATGGCTAATGGATGGACAGATAAAAAGAGGAGAACTTTAATTAATTTCTTAATAGATTTCCTTAAAGGAACTGTTTTTTTTAAACAATAGATACGTTAGAGGCCTAAAAGAATGTTGTCTTGTTGCATAAATTGTTTAGAAAGGTTATTTTATTTGTTGGGCCTGAAAATATTATGCATATGATGACTGATAATGTTTCTAATTATGTTGCTTTTTACAAGTTGTTGGTGGAAGAATTTCCTTCAATATTTTAGTCTTTTTATGCTGCTCATTACATCAACCTCATACTCTAAAATGTTGGTAAGCTATAATCAGTTTGTTTTGTTGTTGATCATGCTTCTAGTATTACAAAGTATATTTATAATCATTGTTATCCACTATATTTGATAAGGAGGTTTATTAAAGGGAAAGAAATACTTCGACCTGCTTCTACTCGCCTTGCTACTAATTTCATAACTTTGCAAAGCATTTTAGTATATAAAGATAATTTGAAAGCTATGGTGACATCTAGAGAATATGTCTCCTCTGCTTATGCTAAAGATAGCAAAGGAAAAATGTTTGTTGATAGTGTATTGAACTCTATGTTTTGGGAATAATGTGCATCAATTTTACAAATGATCGAAACATTGGTTTGAGTTCTATGAATTATTGATAGTGATGATAGACCTGTTATGGGATATTTATATGAGGTTGTCCATTCTACAACGATAGAAATATTGAGGAGATTTCAAAAGAAAAGAACTAAGGAGCAACCTTTTATAGATATCATTAAAAATAGATGAAATGGACAATTGTATAGAAAGCTTTATGTAGCGAGATTTTGGTTGAATCGTCAATTTCAGTATAATATCAATCTAATGGATAGATATATAAACATCATTTCCGGACTTCTAGATGTTGTTAAGAAGTATGCAAATGGAAATGCAATTCTGCTAAGCAAGCGTACAAGTGAAATAAAGTTGTTTAAAAATGCAGAACATGACATTAATAGAATTGCACCCTTTTACCTCCAGGTATATTATTATTTTCATGTTCAAAGTAATTTAAAAATATTATCTTGATATAATCTAACTTATTAATTTTGTATGTAGATGAATGGTGGGTGCTGTATAAAACTTGTGCTTCAAATCTCCAAAAGCTAGCTATACGAATTTTAAGTCAAACTTGTAGTTTTTCAGGGTGTGAGAGGAATTGAAGTATTTTTTACCACATCCACTATAAGAAGAGAAATCGATTGGAGCATCACAGACTAATGACCTAGTTTATGTCCATTATAATCTAAGATTAAAACAGAAGTATTTTATTTTCTCTAATTCTTCAAAAGTTATTTATATTATTATATAGCATTATTAATACTCCTATTGTGTATCTTAACTTTGATTTTGTAGAAATTATTGGAAAGGATGGAATTATGATCCAATTAATTTTGAGGTATTTTTTGACACTAAAAATTAGATAGTAGAAGATGATCCATCATCTTTAACAATTAAAGAAGTAGAGATCTTTTATCATGATTTATCAACCATGATTATTCAAGATACTTTAAATAAAGGTAATGTAAGATTTGATCTTTTACTTTATGTCATGACTATAATGTTTATTGATTAAGTATGTTTCAATTGTAGATTTGATAAATATAAATCAGATTGAAGATGACTGTGATGATGAAGATACACAGGATGATGTTTCAATAAGTATTAATGAGGTTGGCTCAATTCCATTGGTATTTCATTCTAATTTTGCTCTTGTAGACACTAAAGAACTCAATTATATTCAACCAAAGTAAAGATGTTCTGTAGAAAAAGTGTGGTTATTTTAATGAGACTTCATTCTAATTTTGCTCCTGTAGACACTGAAGAACTCAATGTCTATATTCAACCAAAATAAAGATGTTGTGTAGAAAAAGTGTGGTTATTTTAATGAGATCTTGTACTTTATCATTCTTTTTTTTTTTAAATATATTAGTGTTAAGAGAAATTCTAATTTTTTTTTTTTTATGAAGATGTTGATTTATGAATTCTAATGCAAAATAGAGTTAAAATGTTGATTTATGGATTTAAAATGTTGATTTATGGATTTTAATAGAAACTAGAGTTTGAATATTGTCACCTTATATTTATTATGTTAAATTATATATCTCTAGAACAATTTTTTATTTTATTATTCTTATCTTTAATATCTTTAAATTATGTTAGATGTTTGTTTATTTGAAAATAAATACACTTTATAATCTATTAATGCTAATTGATTATGCTAGTATATATGTTAATATGATATTTTCTTATTAATTATAATAGTATATATATTAATGTGTTATTTTATGTCAAAAAAATCATATTAATATGTGTTTTTGTTCTTGACCCGGGTTGACCGGTCAACCTAGAAGACCCATGACCCGATTATTTTATCGAGTCGGATGTGATAATTATGCCTAAATCTCTTAATTTGTATTTATCATTTAATTTTTTGATTTAATATTTAATTATTATTAACAATTTTTTAATATTTTATATAATTTATTTTTTTATTAAATAAATATATACAATTCTTGACTTAGAGTTTTAATTTATATATATATATAAGAAAAACAGGTATCGACAAAACTCGTATATTCTTTTCTTTAAAAATTAAATTTTAATCCGAGTGCAGATAAATGAATTAAAAAAAAACAGGTCATCCGGGTCACGCCGGATCATGGCTTACTTTATTTTTTCCCAAGTAGAGTTCATAGAAATTTTTATAAAAGAGAAAAATCCATCAAGGTTTCTCAAATAAATTGAAAAAAAAGAAGAGGATAAAAGTAGGGGCTGGAGAAACATATCAGACTTTTACGGTGCTACGCGTTAAATTAAAGGAGCCATTTTGCAATTTGCTGAGAAATAAATAGAAATCAATCGAAGGCGCGTGAAGTTTAGAAAATCCCTGCAATTTGTAAAGGGTTTTTATTTTAAAAAAAATTCAAAACGACGTCGTTTTAATAAAAAATAAATAAAAGTCAACGGGTTACCACCGGGTTTTTGACCGGGTTTTTCCGGGTCGTCCGGGTTTCTGGGTCAACCCGCCAGGTCATCCGGGTCACGCCGGATCATGGCTTACTTTATTTTTTCATCAACCCGGCCCAGTTCCAGCCCCGGGTCGGCTGAGTCCCGGGTCAATCCGTCGGGCCAGGCCGGGTTTTAAAACTCTACGCGTTAAATTAAAGAAGGAGCCATTTTGCAATTTGCTGAGAAATCGGTGCTACGCGTTAAATTAAAGGAGCCATTTTGCAATTTGCTGAGAAATAAATAGAAATCAATCGAAGGCGCGTGAAGTTTAGAAAATCCCTGCAATTTGTAAAGGGTTTTTGTTTGCGCTCTTCTCTCTTTTTCTTCAAATTCAAAAACCTCACTGAAAAAAGCAATACAAAAAAATGGCTGAAGATGGATTGAATCCTCACCGAAGAGACCCTATCAAGTCTTCAGGTTTCTGTCTCTCTCTTCATTTCTTCCCTCATAACTAGTTTTTTTTTTTTCAATCGTTCTATTGTTGTGTTTGATTGCCGAGAAAAAAAATTGAACTTTTGTAGAATCACTTCTACCGAACAGACTTGTTAATTTGATTCAGCACAAGGATTTATATATAAATACATATATTACTGGATGCGTATTTAATTTTGCTGTGGATAGTTGGTAATGTTGCGGCGCATAGGAGGAGGCAAAATGCGGTGGCGGTGGGGAAGGACAGGAGAGAATCGTTGGTGCGTGCGAAGCGTCTTTGTAGAGTGGGTCCTAGTTGTGATGATAGTGACATATGTATTGAAAATGACATGATAATTGATGAAGAGCAATCAATTTTGGAGGCTCAAACTTTGTCGGCAGTTGAAGAGCTGAAGTCTGCTGTTTCTTTTCAGTATGTTAAACTTCATACCTTCTTTGTTTTTAATTAGAGAAGAACCTTTGTTTGTTTTTTGGCATGCAGATGCTCATTCTTGTTATGTTCCTGTATCATAACTCTGTTGGTTAAGATGAGTATAAAAAATTGAGGATTTTTGGGGAATGTTAGTGAAATGAAAACAAATGCCGTGCATGTGTTCGTGGATTCGTGGGGGTAATCCTTGATAGATTTTTCGCAGCTTACACCCTCCCAAAACCTATACCTATTTTCATACTCTTGTTATCAATGATATGCTAATCAGGACTATGCTATCAGCCAGGTTTTCTTGAGCAATGCATATCAATTTCCGTAGGGGAATAATTTAATAAACTGACTACTAAGTTTCATGCCTGTATATAATTCATGGTTGCTCAAAATAAAGTAGAAGCTAGCTTTCCATTTTAAGAGGATATGAGAAATTGGGTATAGAAGTATGAACTATAAAATTTTGAGATATACTGATCAGTGATGAATGATAACCATGTTTGATTAAACTTTGGGAAGCTCGATGCCATAAACTGTTGCTACTGGGAACTTAATTTTCATATGGAAATGTGTCATAAGGATCAGGAAAATGTTTGAAGAACATTTGCTTGATGTTATTGCTAATGAATATATATGCATAGCTTCCTAACTGTTCTGGCATTGAGAGACATGAATCCAAGCTCTGTTTTCTTCTTCTGTTTTCAGCCCATACCTCTCCTTTTCATAAACATGCTGTGTCATCAAGTCTTAAGTCTTTGGAATTTGTTTTATATCTCTATGCTTGAACTTTCAGGGGAAAAGGTGCAATGCAAAAGCTAGTTGGTGCTCTCCGGGAGATGAGACGTTTGCTGTCAAAATCTGAATTCCCTCCTGTTGAAGCTGCTATTAAAGCTGGAGCAATCCCCTTGCTTGTGCAGTGTCTCTCATTTGGCTCTCCAGATGAACAGGTCCAATGATGGTTTTTTTTTTTTTCCAAAATCAGTTATTTGATACATGAAACTCTTCAGCTTTATTAAATTATGAAAAAGAATCATTCTCCATAGTTAAAAGGTGTCTGTGTGGGGTGTGGGTGGGATCTCTATCTATATTAGGTTCTAATAGTCTGCTATTTGTTTCTTTTTTTCTTTCTTAAATTGCAATGCATGTTGAATGAATGCTCAGTGTTTGTCACAGAAATACATTGATTCTCATCCACCTACCTTGTCTAGGAACAAAATTTAAAACATACAGCTTCTTATAAGGAGTAATGTAAATTCAAACACTGATTCTTGTCTTATCTGCAGTTACTTGAGGCAGCATGGTGCCTTACAAATATTGCAGCAGGAAAACCAGAAGAAACAAAAGCATTATTGCCTGCTTTACCACTGCTTATTGCACATCTTGGAGGTTTGTGACAGCTGGTGCATCCTTTTCAGTGTCAAGAATGTTTTTTTGCTTCCTTGTCTTGATACTTTATGATACATGAATGTTGGTTGTAGTGATTTGAGCCCATACTGGGACAACAATATTAGGTAACTCTGAGTTATAATATAATGCCACTTTAACTTAGAGAATTGAAACATTCATTTCCCAAAACTTATTAGTTCTGAAATCTATAGCCTAGTAATTCATGGGCATATGTTTAGTTTTTCTTTTCCTTGTTTTTTGTTTGAAACTATAGGTCGATCGATATGCTACTTTTGGTTTGGCATTTATAGTTGCATTTCTGTGTAGAAAAGAGTTCCTTACCTGTGGCTGAACAGTGCGCATGGGCATTGGGAAATGTTGCTGGTGAAGGAGAAGAGTTGAGAAGTGTTTTGCTATGTCAAGGTGCCTTACCACCTCTTGCAAGAATGATGCTGCCAAACAAGGGTTCAACTGTGAGAACAGCTGCCTGGGCATTGTCAAACCTAATCAAGGTTTTGAACCTTATCACTATGAACAACTTGTGCATCTGTTTGTCACTTTTGGCATATGATGCTTTTGAAAAATTAGAAACATGTCCCAAAGAGAACGTCATCCCCTAGAGATGTTAGTTCTTTTGTCAACAACACAGAGGCTCCTTCCCAAGTAACCTACTTTGAGAGGCTGCATGCAGGGATCTCTTTTTTATTGGAAAATAAGTTCGAACCTTCTTTGAGAGGCTATATGCAGGGATCTTTTTTTTTAAATGGAAAATAATTTCCAAGCCAGAATGTTGCTAGGATTTAGTGTTTTATGTGATGAGATGCCTTCAATAGTTGGTGCATCGTGCAATATTTTCTTAGATGTGATGCCAGAGAATTCATAGGTGCAGTTTGTAGAAACCCCAGTGTGATGCTAAATGTTCATGTATTTTTTAATGGGTTATCATGTTGTTTTCAAATATCTGTTAGTAGTACAAAGTTATCAATTAGTTTTCAGCAAATACAACACCGACAGCCCCACTCTTATCCCTTCATTCATTTATTCTAGTATCATATTGGTTTTTTCTAAGATACTTAAAATTCTTTGTTTACCTACAAACCTGGTGTTGAGTTTGCGTATAGCAAGCACCACAATTCTGTGACAACTTCTGCTTCGTCAGTTGTTGAGTTCTAGGCTTTCCTAAACAAGCTTTAAATTTCTCTACCTCGATCAATTGCATTCCTGATCTCTTGAATTGAATGAGCCAATCTTGTGATTAGGGTATCCCTTCCACTATTAGGGTGATAGGCGCCAATTGTACCTATTCCAATCTTGTGATTAAAGCACCTGTTGACTTGGTAATAAACATAATAAGTTCATTGTCTGATATATTCGTATCCACATCATTATGCTTGTGTGCTAAATTTCATTTACAGCATAGCTTCAGTGTGTTTGAATGCAGGGACCAGATCATAAAGCTGCCACAGAACTCATTAGAGTTGATGGGGTTCTAGATGCAATTCTTCGGCACTTAAGAAAAGCGTAAGTGGTGTCAATCAATCATTGTCATTAGAAAACTTTTGGACTGCCTTTTATGAATTCTGTTGTGCCCTTTTCTTCAAGCCTTGTGGTGACCAAGGTGGCTGTCCATGTTTACAATCTGAGCAATATTTTAGTATCTTTCTGTTTTTTTCAACATTATTCCCTCTTTGAATGCATGTTAAATCTATATAGAGGTTTCCCCTCATGACCAGGAACCATTTAAAATATTTCCTTATGAGGAAAACACATTTTAGGTGATAGTCATTCCTAAGCCATTCGAAAAAATGGCAATTAGTTGAAATTAGTCACTTGATAAGAATTTGTGATTTGGTTCTTAAGCCATTTGAAAAAAATGGCTCTCAATGATTATCTTCTACCCCGTTAATCATTCAAAGTTCAGTTTTTGGTACACAAGGTGCTGTTCATCAACAAGCAGCTCATGCAAATTTCACTTTTGCTTCATGGTATATACCCCATGGTTGGCCTAGAAAAATTTCTACATCATGTACGCCACACTTTTGTTCCAATATCTGCAATTGCTTGTTTATTTTAGATTTGCTTCATATCATTTTCCTTTCCTTTTTTCTTAAAAGTTTAAAATTATACTCTGTTAAGAATCCCATGTAAAAGGTACCTAGCAATCAGTTTTGCTGTTTATTGGTTAGCTTATTAGACTGTACTTCAGAATGCAAGAATCGTGATGGTAGTGTTCTTGCTGCAATCAGTTGTAGTTAAGTTACTAAAAAATCGCAATCTGTTTCTAAGGTTCTGCTAGTTTTTTTTTTTCCTTCTTTTATTGGGTAGAATTCCCTTAGAAGTTGTTGTCTTATAGCTCCATCCTTATATCTTGTATGGGACAGTATTACCATCTCTCATCCATCTTCTCTTTGATCTGGGGAATAATTCTCATTTCTTGAAATAATTTTATTCAGTTTTTTAGAAAATTTATACCCAAGTTTAAAGTAGTATTTACTTGTTGAATTCAGGGATGAGGAATTGACAACTGAAGTAGCATGGGTGGTTGTGTATCTCTCAGCCCTTTCGAATGTTGCTACCAGTATGCTGGTTAAAAGTGATGCCCTTCAGCTGCTGGTACAAAGATTAGCATCATCAAATAGCTTGCAATTGCTTATTCCGGTACATTCAATATGAGATTTTACATAGCTTTTGTTGATCAATGCTGTTATTTATTTATTGGCATTTGGTCTTACTATACAAGGCTTAAATTTTGTGTTCTGGATGTTATCCTATAACATTTGTAGTTGTTGTCATGAATCTTTTTTTGTCACTTTGAATATTATGTCATAAATCTTTTTTTGTCACTTTGAATATTATGTCATGTAGTGGCACATTATAATGTGTAGAAAATATGTGAATTTTTTTTTATGGGGTTCTAAATTTTAAGCCATTTGCTGGTAATGCTTAAGTCTTGAAAAACCCAGTCCAGTGAGCTCCTCAGTTTGATCTTTATATATATATATAAAATGATGGTTTGAACTTTGATTTATTCTTGTAGTTCAAAAGGAAAATGAATTCTTTCAAATGACTAGAAAAAGGAAGAAAAAAATATGAGCTCTTTAAAACCAAACCTAACTTAACACTATGGTTTTACTATTTTGTGTTTACAATATGGAAATTAGCAATTGTATATATAAACCAGACAGTTGATTTGGAAACTTTACAAATTTGCGCTTTCTTGCTATTTCAATAATTTCAAAAGATATTAATAAAATAATTAGCTGGAAATTATGTGATGCTTTGCCAAATGGATTTGGGATGTATATAAATTTAATATTTCCTTGTCTTTGAATAATTTGACAAGTAATTTCCTATCCAGGTCTTACGAAGTTTAGGTAATCTAATAGCTGGTGATTCACACACAATAGTTGCTGTTCTTCTTCCCGGGTGTGAAATCACAGGTCAGTGGAATACCTCTCTTGCTTAAATTGGGAAAGTTTAGTCTTCCATTTCTAAAGTATCAACTTCCCTGAAACTCAGATAATGTCATTGAGGCCCTTGTAAGATGTTTGAAGAGTGAGCACCGAGTCTTGAAGAAGGTGAGTTAGCATGTCTTAATCTCTTTGACATCAACCTTTGTAACTTGTTCTTACTGGAATTTTTTACTGTTGTTCTAGGAAGCTGCTTGGGTATTATCTAACATTGCAGCTGGTTCGATTGAGCACAAGCAGTTGATATATTCTAGCGAGGCTGCACCTTTATTACTGCGTTTACTTTCAACTGCACCTTTTGATATAAGAAAGGAAGTAGCATATGTTTTGGGTAATCTCTGTGTTGCCCCAACAGAAGGCGATGGAAAGCCAAATTTAATCTCAGAGAACCTGGTTTCCCTTGTTGGTAGAGGATGCCTTCCTGGTTTTATTGACCTGGTTAGATCTGCTGACACTGAGGCTGCAAGACTAGGTCTTCAATTTATGGAGCTGGTAAGGAAACAGTTCCTTGTAAATATATCTATTTATATGTGACTTCACATCAAGAAATATTGCTTTGTTTCATGCTTTATGGTTTGCTTCTAGTTATTGAAAAAAATTAAGCTATTTTTCTCATTTCTAAGATATGAACTAGGATTGGTTTGGTGATTCGTGAGATTTCCTTTCTTGTCCAAAATTACTGCATGCGAGCAACAAATTCAATATAATTTTTTTTAAAAGTTCTAATGTGGATTTTTTTATTCAACATATTATCACTTGATGACCCACCCAAACCGTTTTTATCATCATTTATCTATACATGTCAATGCAGGTCTTGAGGGGGATGCCAAATGGCGAGGGCCCAAAGCTTGTTGAGCGAGAGGATGGTATTGATGCCATGGAAAGATTTCAGTTTCACGAGAATGAAGACCTGAGAAATATGGCAAATGCTTTAGTTGATAGGTACTTCGGCGAGGACTATGGGCTTGACGAGTAGGCTGAGTGATGCAGGCATTGCGAAAAGGGAACTTCACTGCTCGGGCAATAGACCTCTTTGACTTTTGCTTGGCCATCTTTTATGCAGTGTACTGCACATCAATGAATCTATGGTTCCTTTTGTCTCTAGCAATCTAGAGCCTGATCCATGGCTTGCGCCGGTCACAACTTGTTGTATATTGAAGGTTTTAGTGCCTCTGCTAGGAAATTGTCGTCTTGTTTAATCCTAAATGATGCAAAGTTTGACAAAAAAAAAAAAAATCAAAATTTGTTTTTCATGTGTACCATTGATAGCATGCATACCACCCACCTAAAGAAATTCGAATTAGCTTGACGTGGTCTTATTGTTTTTATTTTTTTTATTAATATGGATGTTTGGACTAATTTATTTGTATCTCAATTAATTTTATTTATTATGAATCTTGAAATTAATGATTATATAAATTTTTAATAACTTTAAAATTTATGAAATTTAAACTAGTAATTTTTAAAAAATAAATTTAAAATTTAACTAGTAAAGTTATATCTCTCAAGATTATGATTTTTATTTTTTATCCAAGCAAAGAGCTGCATTAGTTTTATTTTTTACACAAGCAAAGATGCAGTTCTGGCTGAGGTCAAGTGGTTGGATATAAATTGATCATTGAGCAGAGTCTGACAGATCGTGTCTTGAATTTTTAGGGTTCTGCATCTGCTTACGATTTTACAGCATTGAATAGGATACAAAGATGGAAGTGGTTGGGACAAGAGAGAGGAAAAAAAAAAAAGTAATTTAGTTTATATTTTTCTCTATATACTAGCAAAGAACTATTATAAATAATGAAGAGATTATATAAAGCAACATAAACATAAAATAAATTGGATTTGATACCCTGAAGCTACTGCCTTTTCTTCTGTTTCTAGAAAATCAGAAGGTAGTCTCTGTGCATGTCTACCTCTGCTTTGAAGGAGATGAAGCTAAGGTTTAGCGCTCGGGCCATCAATGCTGCATGAATCAGGGCTGCATTTACAAGATTATTATTGTTATTATTACTATCGTGTAGGGGCAAATCCGGGACTTGGGCGGAAGAATACGTGATAAATAAAGGAGGACAAAACAGGTAGTTATTTTGGACCGTTAGATTGAAAATCAAACCCGATGTTTCCTGAAAACTTGATATGCACGAACAACACTAAGGAAATGCATACATCGGTGGACAGGTAGTTATTTTGGACCGTTAGATTGAAAACAATCCTACCGTGGATGGAGAATTCTTAATCTATTTGAAATTGTAGTATCAATTATAATTTAAAATATTTTTTATTTTAAAATAATATTAAAATAATATATTTTTTATATTTAAAAATTAATTTTGATATCAATATATAAAAAAATATAAAAATATAAAAAAAAAATTTAACAAAAAAAATTAAAATTTAAAAAACATGATTTACATCAATTTTCTAAACAATTTCAACTCTATTTGTTTTTGAATTTCAAAATTATTTTAAAAAAGTTTTAAATTTTTATTTAAAATTTAAAATTATTTTAATATGTTAATATATTTTTAAATTTTTATTTAAAATTAAAAATATTATTTTTAAATAAAAAATAATTTAAAAAATAACAATTATCACATTTTTAAATATTAGAAACATCATTGACCTGTTTTTTTAATACAATACGCATGAAAAAAAGCAATCATACTTCTATCTCAAACACCTATATAAAGCAGCAAAAGCCTTAGAACTCCCCATCTTTCGCTTGCTATCAACGTTGCTCCCTGTAGCTGCGAGAGAGCTCCTTGGTTTTTCAATTCCCTTTCTTTAAGGTTTGATCCCTTCTCTCTCTTTCTCTACATTTAGTATTCTGTTATGCTTACTTGGCTGATGTGATTCCTTTGTTGATTGATAGAAACCTTTGGTTTGATGTATTATAAGTTTTGGTTCTTATACTTTGCTTCAACTGATGTTTACTGTGATGAAGCTTGTTGCTTAAATTAAGATGTTTACCAAGTCTTTTCTGTTAGAATAAAGAAGCTTGTTGCTTAAATTAAGATGTTTACCAAGTCTTTTCTGTTAGAATAAAAGTCCTAGTCTATTGGGTTGTTCTAGTTTCTAGGAATGTTGTTACTTGATCTTGTGAGATTCCTCGCAATGCTGCACTTTATTTGTTTTCTGTTATCATTGTAAGGCTATTTAAGAAGCCACACTTATATTTCAATAAGATACAACCTTGACCATTTTGTGTAGTCTTAAGCAAGCTGTTGTTCTTGTTCATTAAGTGTAACAAAGTGGTATCAGAGCCAGGTTGAGAGAATTCTAAGTGTGAGAGTTTAGGAACAGCAGTATCCTAAATAGGAGAAACATCGTGGGTAGGAGAAACATTGTGGGTGAGAGAAACACCGTGAGAAACACTGTGAGGAAATTGCGAGAAAAACACTAAGAGAAACAGAGTGACTGGGAGATGGCTGCTGAAGGGCAAAATTTGTTGAGCATTCCTAGGTTCGATAGAGACTATGATTACTGGAGCCTGTTGATGGAGAATCTTCTGAGATCAAAAGAATACTGGAGCTGCATTGAAACTGGTTTTACAGAACCTAATGAAGGAGAGACACTGACTGCTGCACAAAAGAGACACCTTGAGGATTGTAAACTCAAAGATCTAAAGGTTAAAAACTACCTTTTCTAGTCAATCGACAAGTCAATCTTGAAGACTATCCTTCAAAAAGACACTTCCAAGCAACTATGGGAATCGATGAAAACAAAATATCAAGGGAATACGAGAGTCAAACGTGCTCAACTCCAGGCACTACGTAGAGACTTTGAGGTGCTAGAAATGAAGATAGGTGAATCGGTCATAGATTATTTCTCCAGAGTCATGGTGGTGGCCAATGAAATGTGAAATTATGGAGAAGATATGCAGGATGTGAAGATAGTAGAAAAGATTTTACGCATTCTCACAGACAAATTCAATTACATTGTCTGTTCCATAGAAGAATCCAAAGACATTGATCTCCTTTCTGTGGATGAGCTACAAAGCTCATTGATTGTGCATGAACAGAAATTTCGAAGAACTAACAGTGAAGATCAAGCTTTGAAAGTTACAATTGATGAAGGACAAGGCAGAGGAGGACGTGGCAGGAATACCTATAGAGGAAGAGGATACGGGAGAGGGCGTGGATTTATCAACAAAGCTATAATATAGTGTTATAGATGTCACTACAAATATGAATGTCCAACTTGGGAGGCTAATTATGTTGAAGCAGATGAAGAATTGTTGTTAATGTCTTTAGTGGAGATGAATGAAGTAAAACGTGGAGACGTTTGATTCTTGGACTCTGGTTGTTCAAATCATATGAGCGGAGATGCAGCAAAGTTCTGTGAATTGAATAGGGGATTTAAGCAGCAAGTCAAACTCGGTAATAACACTAAAATTTCTGTGGAAGGGAAGGGAAAGATCAAACTAAAATTGAATGGCATGAATCATATCATCAGTGATGTGTTCTATGTGCCAGAATTGCACAACAACCTGCTGAGTGTGGGACAAATGCAAGAGAAGGGACTTTCATTTTTATTTCATGCCGGGATGTGCAAGATTTATCACCCAAAGAGGGGCATGATCATTCAAACCAGTATGTCTGCAAATAAAATGTTTATACAGTTGGCAAACACACAAGAGAGAAATGATGCCTGCTTCCACACAAGCTCATCATCACCAAATGTCACCCACTTGTGGCACAACAGGTATGGCCATTTGAGCCATCGAGGTCTGGAGATTCTGCAAACCAAGAATATGGTACGAGGACTGCCAAAACTTACTCCTACCACAGAGACTTGTACTGACTGCCTAATTGGAAAACAACATCGAAGCAGCATCCCAAAGAAGAGCATATGGAGAGTTACTGAAAAATTACAACTTGTGCATGCTGATATTTGTGGTCCAGTGACCCCTATTTCTAACAGCAAGAAGAGGTCTTTTCTATGCTTCATTGATGATTATAGTAGAAAATCCTGGACATATTTTCTAACAGAAAAATCAGAATCATTCTATGTATTTCAATGCTTTAAGAAGATGGTAGAAAAGGAAACTGGAAAGTTCATCAACTGTCTACGTACAGATA